GAGAAAAAGGAAAAAAGGAATAGAAAAGAAAAAGGAAAAGAAAAAGGGAAAAGAAAGTAGGGAAAGAGAAAGAAGGGAAAGAGAAAGAAGAGAAAGAGAATGAAGAGGATGAGAAGGAAGGAAAGAGAAAGAAGGGAAAGAGAAGGAAGAGGAAGGGAATGAAGAAGAAGAGAATGAAGGTAAAGAGAAAGAAGGGAAAGAGAAGAGAAGAGAAAGAAGGAAAGAAAAGAAGGAAAGAAAAAAAAAAGAAGAGGGAAAGAGAAGGAAGGAAAAAGAAGAAGAAGAAGGAAATGAAGAGAAGGAAGGGGAAGAAAAAGAAGGAAAAAGAAAAGGAAGAGAAAGAGAAAAAAGGGGAAGAGAAAGAAGGAAAAAGAAAAGGAAGAGAAAAGAGGGAGAAAGAAGGGAAAGAGAAAGAAGGGAAAGAGAATGAAAGGAAAGAGAAGGAAGAAAGAGAAGGAAGAAAGAAGGGAAAGAGAATGAAGAAGGAAAGAGAATGAAAGAAAGAAGAGAAAGGAATAGAAAGAGGAAGGAAGAAGTAAAACAGAAGGAAAGGAAAGAGCAAGAAGGGAAAGAAAAGGAAGGGAAAGAGAAAGAAGGAAAAGAAGGAAGGGAAGAGAAGAAGGAAGGAAAGAAACAGAAGGAAGGGAAAGAGAAGGAAGGGAAAGAGAAAGAAGGGAAAAGAAAAGAAGGAAAAGAGAAAGAAGGGAAAGAGAAGGAAGAGGAAGAGATGGAAGGGAAAGAGAAAGAAGGGAAAGAGACGGAAGAGGAAGAGAAAGAAGGGAAAAAGAAAGAAGGGAAAGAGAAAGAAGGGAAAGAGAAGGAAGAAGGGAAAGAGAAAAAAGGAAAGAGAAAGAAGGGAAAGAGAAAGAAGTGAAAGAGACGGAAGAGGAAGAGAAAGAAGGTAAAGAGAAAGAAGGTAAAGAGAAAGAAGGGGAGAGAAAGAACGGAAAGAGAAGAAAGAGAAAAAGAAAGAAGATGAAGAGAAGGAAGTGAAAGAGAAGGATGTTAAGATAAAGATCGGAAAAGAAAAGGAAGGGAAAGGAAGGGAAAGAGAAAGAAGGGAAAGAGAAAGGAAGAGGAAGGAAGGAAGGAAAGAGAAAAAAGGGAAAGAGAAGGAAGAGGAAGAGAAGGAAGAGGAAGAGAAAGAAGGTAAAGAGAAAGAAGGGAAAGAGAAGGAAGAGGGAGAGAAGGAAGGGAAAGAGAGAGAATGGAAAGAGAAGGAAGGGAAAGAGAAAGAAGGGAAAGAGAAGGAAGCGGAAGAGAAGGAAGGGAAAGAGAACGAAGGGAAAGAGAAGGAAAAGGAAGAGAAGTAAGGGAAAAAGAAAAAGGGAAAGAGAAGGAAGAGAACGATTGGAAAGAGAAAGAAGGTAAAGAGAAAGAAGGGAAAGAGAAGGAATGGAAAAAGAAAGAAGGAAAAGAGAAGGAATGGAAAAAAAGCAGGGAAAGAAAAAGATGGGAAAGAGAAAGAAGAGAAAGAGAATGAAGAGGAAGAGAAGGAAGGGAAAGAGAAAGAAGGGAAAGAGTAGGAAGAAGAAGAGAATGAAGAAGAAGAGAATGAAGGTAAAGAGAAAGAAGGGAAAGAGAAGGAAGAGGAAGAGAAAGAAGGGAAAGAAAAAGAAGGGAAAGAGAAGGAAAATGAAGAGAAGGAAGGGGAAGAGAAGGAAGAGAAAAGAAGAAGGAGAAGGAAAGGAAATAGAAGCAAGGGAAAGAGAAAGAAGGGACAAGAAAAGGAAGAGAAAGAGAAAATGGTAAAGAGAAGGAAGGGAAAGAGAATGAAGGGAAAGAGAAGGAAGAGGAAGAAAAAGAAGGGAAAGAGAAGGAAGGGAAAGAGAAAGAAGGGAAAGAGAAGGAAGAGGAAGAGAAGGAAGAGGAAGAGAAAGAAGGTAAAGAGACAGAAGGGAAAGAGAAGGAAGGGAAAGAGAAAGAAGGGAAAGAGCAGGAAGGCAAAGAGAAAGAAGGGAAAGAGAAGGAAGAGAAGGAAGAGGAAGAGAAAGAAGGTAAAGAGGCAGAAGGGAAAGAGAAAGAAGGGAAAGAGAAGGAAGAGGAAGAGAAGGAAGATGAAGAGAAAGAAGGTAAAGAGACAGAAGGGAAAGAGAAGGAAGGGAAAGAGAAAGAAGGGAAAGAGCAGGAAGGGAAAGAGAAAGAAGGGAAAGAGAAGGAAGAGAAGGAAGAGGAAGAGAAAGAAGGTAAGAGACAGGAGGGAAAGAGAAGGAAGGGAAAGAGAAAGAAGGGAAAGAGCAGGAAGGGAAAGAGAAAGAAGGGAAAGAGAAGGAAGAGAAGGAAGAGGAAGAGAAAGAAGGTAAAGAGACAGAAGGGAAAGAGAAGGAAGGGAAAGAGAAGGAAGAGGAAGAGAAAGAAGGTAAAGAGACAGAAGGGAAAGAGACAGAAGGGAAAGAGAAGGAAGGGAAAGAGAAAGAAGGGAAAGAGCCGGAAGGGAAAGAGAAGGAAAGGAAAACGAAATAAACGGCTTTAGAAGTAAACGGGAACTAAATAAATGCATAAATCTCAGACTTTAATTGGAGTATGTTATGAGTAGAATTCAGAAGGAAGCGGAAAACTAATCCTAATCAGGAATCAACGGATAAAGACCTTGGAGGAGTGTGAACCGGATGATATGTGAACGTATTTACTAATTCACACACACACACACACGCACACACACACACACATATATATATATATATATATATATATATATATTGAACAATGAAAACATTAAAAAATAAATCTTCAGACACACCAGGTTGTATAGTAATATTCTTTCGTTTTGATTATTTCATTTAGATTCCTCGACTAGTTTCGGCCAACATGACCATCATCAGGAGAAAAAAAAATTCTACTTGCTAATAGCAGTGAACTAAAGAAATGAATGTCTTAATGGAGAAAATGAACTTTTGTCTGTAGTTTTCATTTGGTTTTTTATTTTTTAAATGAATTTTTGCTCAGAATTTGTGTTGTCAAACAGTGTCTTTTAAGTTGTTATTTAAGACAAGAGCTGGATGGATTCAGGCTCCCTTGGTCATTTTGACAGTTTTATTGGTTCCTGGAAAAGGGATGTGTCTCTGTTAAGTGTGTGTGATAATTAGTTCTTAGGGAGTGAGTGAGTATGAAGTGTGTAAGCGGGTATATTACTATGGGTGTGCCTTATCATTTGGATCGTTAGGGAGTGTGTATGATGTCTGTAAGTGTGTATGTTAGTGTGGGTGCGTGTATAAGTGTGAGGCCTCAACATCTCCGAAAGCATGTCTGTTTGTGTGGGTAGGTCCTGATTTGTGGGGTTATATATTAATACTCTCTATATTGTTAAATTTGTGATTAAGCCCGTCTGGATAGTGCGTCTTTAAACGTCGGATCCACTTATTTTCATGGTACTCTAAAATCTTTCTAATGTTATCTGCTCTGAACTTTTCTATTCTCTCAATTATAGTGAATTTGGCATGGGTTTTAAAATCGTGTTTTTCTAGGCGGAAATGTTCTACAGGTAATGATCTTTTATTGGAAGTCGACTTAATTCGATTGCGATAATTATTAATTCTGTAGTGAAAGGGCCATTCAGATTTTCCTACATATTGTTTCTGGCATAGTGTGCATTCTAGGAGGTAAATTATGTTATGACTTCTACAGTTAGATTCGTGGTAGATTTTGAAAGTAGATGTCGTGACTGAGCTAGTAAATTAATTCGTGTGTCTAATGTGGTTGCAGCATAAGCTCCTTTGTTGTTAGATGGTTGGGAAAATCCTGTTGTTTTTGTTTTTGGTTTATTACAGATTACCTTGTCTCCTGAAATGTGGTTACTACCTATGATTTCTTTTAGGTTCTTAGGTGAACAATATGTTAGATGGCCGGCTTCCTCAAACAATTTTTTAGGTCTGGTTTCAGATATAGTATTTCCCAGCAACATTTGATTATTTGGGATAGTGGAGGAAAAGTGGGATTGGAAGTGCTTACTAGAGGGATTTCGGCTGGGTTTATTTTTAATCTTGTACATTAGGGTGTCTTCTCTAGGTCTGGAAATTGCTTTATTTATTTGTTCCCTGATTAGGTGTTGTTTATAGCCACTCGTTGTCAATGGATGCTCCAGATTTTGAATGTGTTTATTTAGTTTTTCATTGTTGGAACATATCCTTCTGAGTCTAAGAGCTTGTGAATAAGGAAGGTTCTCTTTGAGTTGTTTAGTGTTGGAAGACTTAAAGTGGAGATAGTTGTTGGTGTCGGTGATTTTAGTGGGTAGTGTCGTTTGTAGTTTCCTGTGTTTATCTGTGTAAATACGGGGATCTAAAAATTCTACCGATCTTGTGGACTTTTTATATTTAATTGAGTCGTGTACTGTGTTTAGTTTGCCGTCACTGCCCGTGCACACAAAGAATATAGCATCGATATGTCTTGCATAGAATACGCAGTCGCTACCCATGAGGGGGATAGATATGGGTCTCCTCAAATTTTCCCATGAATATTGTAGCATATGATGGAACTGCAATGGTGCCCATGGCACAGCCTCTTACTTGCAGGTAGTCTGCTCCATTGAAGTAAGTGCTTCCTGAAGGGCGGTTAGCCCTTCGATGTGTTTAATGTTTGAATAGAGGGATCTTACGTCCATAGTCACTAGAATAGCATTCTCTGGCACTGTTTGTATGTGTTTAATTTTGTTTAGTAGATCTGTTGTGTCTCTGATGTAGGTTTTTACTTCCTTAGCTAGGGGTTGTATGTAATGATCTACGTATTTTGAAAGTTTGGTCGTGTGGCAGTTGAATGATGAAATGACCAGTCTTTCGTGGTTGTTGCGAAAATTTCTCGTGAATGTCTCGTGAATGTATACATGTCAACAATCGGAGCATTTTCCTATTTTTTCACTGAATAATATTTCCTCGCATGTATGTATATACGTGTTGGGGTCTCTATAAAATTATGATAGGTAAAAATTACTATTATTTTTATTTTTCATTTTTAAAAAAGTTTTTATTTGTTATTATTTTAAAGCTGGTTATTTGCATGTTTTTGATGACTGTGTATATGTAACTGGTAGAAATTTCGGTTTGTATTCCTTATTGGTTATTTTTTATGGTGGTATTTAATATGCTGGGGAGGGGGTAGTTTACGTTAATAATTATAGCGGGTCTATATGATAATAGTAGATGTTATGTGGTAGTAATGTTGTAAGGGGATTGGAGACAATGATAATATAAGTAGCTAATAGTTATTGTAAATTGGTAGAAGTGATTAGTAATGGCGGTGGGAGAATGATAAAAACAATAAATGTAATTATTGTGGCGGTAGCGTGAACTAAAAAGTGATTGTTGGTGTTTTATTTTATTTTGTTAAAAACCCTACACAATAGCAATGGTAAATTACTGGGTAAATGAACATTTTCCAATATGTACCGCGCATTTAATAAATACACACACACACACACACACACACACACACACACACATATATATATATATATATCAGTATCTATCTCTCTCTCTCTCTGTATATATATATATATATATATATATACTAATATATATATAAATATATGTTAAAATATATATGTATATAGGTTAAATATAATATATATGTAATATAATATATATATATATATATATATATATATATATATATATATATATATATATATATATATATATATATATATATATATATATATATATATTTGGTTGGATTGATGTGCGTTTGTGACCCTGGGTTTCATGCTTTTGCGATCGTCCGACAAACTGATTAATTTTGTAGAATTTTGGGTTTATGTAGATTGAAGTGAAACCCAGGGTAACAAACTCACATCACGCTATCTTGTGATGAGTAAATTGCCGTCATTTTATATTTTTAATTTTGCGTATGCACGTTGTTTGTTTTCGATTTTGTCAACTGTAGTGTAGGGTCTGTTGGGCACCGTCTGTGGGAATAAAGATCAACATAATGCAATTACTCCACCACAAATTTGCAAACGGCCTATTGTTCTGCTTGACATTATGACCAGAATTTCCAATACCAACATTTGAGAGTGTTTATGTTTCAATCTGAGGACAGTGCAGAGGATTCAGAAAGAGTTGGATGAGTCTAATGGTGATTACGAAGGTACAGCAGCTCACAAAATTCATTCTGATGGTTCTTATAAGAAAAGAATTTCTTAATGTTTTAATGAGGGCCATCTTTAAAAATTTAAATGTAATGTCAATCGTTATCGTCTGTCTTCTTAATTCTTGTTCTTTTATTGTCCTCTCTCCTTAAGAGTAGTTTTTTTCTCATATTCTCTAACACTCAGTAACCCCTTTGTATCCTAGTGGCTTTATTGCCTTTCATCTTCAAAAATTTTAATGTAATGTCAATCGTTATCGTCTGTCTTCTTAATTCTTGTTCTTTTATTGTCCTCTCTCCTTAATTGTAGTTTTTCTCGTATTCTTTTACACTCAGTAACCCCTTTGTATCCTAGTGGCTTTATTGCCTTTCATCTTCAAAAATTTAAATGTAATGTCAATCGTTATCTTCTGTCTTCTTAATTCTTCTTCTTTTATTGCCCTCTCTCCTTAATAGTAGTTTTTCTCATATTCTTTTACACTCCGTAACCCCTTTGTATCCTAGTGGCTTTATTGCCTTTCATCTTCAAAAATTTAAATATAATGTCAATCGTTATCTTCTGTCTTCTTAATTCTTGTTCTTTTATTGTCCTCTCTCTTTAAGAGTAGTTTTTTCTCATATTTTCTAACACTCAGTAACTTCATGCGTCCGTGTGTTTTTATTGCTTTGCTTGTGGTGAAATGATTTTAAAGAAATTCAGGAAAACAGACGCATACATTGAAACATCCTTATATTTCTGTAAAAAATCTCATATAAAAAAAATCAATCAGGTTAATATATTCTGATCAGTAATTACCTGCAAAATTTTGTATTTCTTTTTTATATACAATAGTTAATTTATACTCTTTTATTTTTGTTCTGAAGCATTTTTTCCTGTCATGACCTACAAGAAACAAAACACTCCGGCATCTAATTTTTTTTTAAAAATAGATTCATACAAAGGGAGGTAATCACAGATTGCCTCGCGTATCTTCTGACAAGGTATCCTGCATGCAAACCATTGCATGCCCAACACATCGCTGAAGCATTAACTGGAAAATGGACGCTGCCTCCAGCTCATTTTTTCAATAATACTCAAATGAATAGCGTCTCGAATTTCCCGCCCGGTTTCTGCCTTAGACATGGCATCAAAATCAGGTAATCGCTTCATAGAAAATCTAACTTGTTGGGCGGCCACCTACGAGACAAAAGACGTTTAAAAATAGGCGGGCGTCGACATTTTAGCAGCTACTTAAGTACTTTTTTATTATTTATTTATTTATTTATGTTTACATTTTTCTTTTTCTCTTCCTAGTTTTCTTCTTCCTTTTCGGTTTTTTCTCTTTTTCCTTTTTTCTTTTTTCTCTTTTATGTGTTACATTTTCCTTTTTTTTTCCCTTGTGTAGTTACTGAAATTTTCGCCATCTTGAATTCCTCTTGTAT